CCGTCGCCGGTAGCGTCCCTTCGGAACCTAAGGGGTCAGTTCCAGGCCACTTGTAATGCCATGGGGTTCTACGGCGCTGCTATATGGGTGCGATAAACACCCACTTCAAATGAAAACTAAAACTTTCTGGAAGAAGATATGTAAAACTTATTATTTAGATATATACATAGGAGTAGGCGATTGAGCGAGATCTCATCAGACAACGTCTGAGGGTAGAATGAGAAGCGTTGAACGTAGCAAAACCTCCTAGGAATAGTTGTAGAGACCCGGAAAGTATCCATAGACGAAGTGGCGCACAAAATATTCCTACACACTGAAGGTGTTGTCAAACGAATGTCCGAGAACAATGCTCTGGGTTGTTTTGTAGATGACTCCAGTGACGTCCCTTCGGTGCCCCTGGGGTCGGCTCCTGGGCGCCGCCTTAAGCCGCCGCAATCAGCCGGCTGCGGTTTCGCCTCGGCAGTCCACTAGGTTGCATACGACTGTGTGAGTAACTGGCGAGTAATCCTATTGGGAAGCTGATACGTGGCACATGCGTGTTTCTCATTGGGGAGAGCGAACTGCCATCTGAAAACAGGAGCGAAAATACTGGCTGAATCAACAGAACTTCCCTGTTGTAGTTCATCCGTACTACACGTCTGCCTGGGCCGCGGCAGTCAGTCGGCTGCGGCTACATCCCACGTAGCATCCAGAACGTATACGGCTGTGTGATTCGCCACGTGAACAATTCTGTCAAGAAGCTTCTAAGTGACACTTGTTTGATCATTTTCGAGAAGTGCGAATTATCATCGAAGTATGGAAGCTATAGCCTACACAACTGCCCTATTGTACTGCGCCCGCACTACAACGCCCACCCAATATACCTCATATGACAGTTATAGTCTCAGATGGCTCGACATATTTCAAGTTAATATTTAATTAAATAACGACATAGTTGCTTTGAACTTAATCAGATATGCTGTCCCCGTACTTGAAACTGTGTACTCGGTGGGGACACGGCGTTCGCACGGCGCAACTCCGTACGAGCTGGCCAGCGTCACGTCGCCAGAAAAATACAGTT